TCAGCTTATAAGCAGCTAACTTATTATGAAAGTTTGTTCCATCCAACATTTCGATCACAAGTGAGCAGATCAAAGTGTTCACTACTTATGAGCAGATCAAAGTGTTCATTACTTATGAGCAGATCAAAGTGTTCACTACTTATGAGCAGATCAAAGTGTTCATTACTTATGAGCAGATCAAAGTATTCACTACTTATGAGCAGATCAAAGTGTTCACTACTTATGGGCAGATAAAAGTATTCACTACTTATGAGCAGATCAAGGGTGTTCACTACTTATGAGCAGATCAAAGGGGTTCACTACTTATGAGCAGATAAAAGTATTCACTACTTATGAGCAGATCAAAGTGTTCACTACTTATGAGCAGATCAAAGTATTCACTACTTTCTTTAGTCAGTTCGTTGTTTTTTACTTTATTCTAGATCGAACACATGCTTTGCTCCTTTAACATGAGTTTTATATCATCTAATTTTAATTTATAAAATGAAATGTGATAGGTTATAAAGTTTTGGTAATATTTCTTTATTAAAGGCTAGAATACAACAAACTAATTTTAATAATGGTTAAGGTGCTCTTATCGTAATAAGCAGATGGCGGGTTCGAATCCCAAAACTCTTTCAGCTATGGAGTCGTTATAATGTGACGATCAATCCCACTATTCGATTAGAGTAGCCCCAAGAGTTGGCGGTGGGTAATGTTGACTATCTGTCTTCCCTCTAGTCTATCACTTTTCAGTTAAGTACGGCTAGCGCAGATAGTCCCCAAGTAGCTTTGCGCAAAATTAAACAAACAAACAACTTTCATAAGTGTAACACATTTGGTTTTTCTCCATTATTTCGCACAACACAAGTACACCTTGCGGCGTGTGACAAATTGAATGGTCACAGCTATTCTGTATCCCTCATAAAGAAACGAAAACTACACATTACAAATGGATCTTTATGTCTGCTGTTTTTGTTTTGTTTTTCGGCTAAGAATGGAGGGCGTTATACAGATAAACTCATAACAGACAAATCAGGTACTGTAGCAGGGATCTATATGACAAGCAAAGAGTAACTTTTTTCAAGTAAAATCATAAGTGGTATATCGTGAAACATATGTATCTTACTAATGAACAGTTTACTCCATTTCTGTATCATCCTGGTGCACCATAAATTTAAGCTCTTCGCCATTAAGCTTGCCGCACAATAAAACAAGCAACACCACTGTTATTTTCATTTTGAGCGACATCTTACAGGCACATAGGCTAAACGGCTAAGTCAGAGATCTTTAAAGTTCAGTATGGCCGCCCTTAAGTTTCAACAACTGACCAAAGAGGAAGCCAGTCAGTAGGCAACGCCACCGCAAGAGTTTTGTCCGCCTTTGAACCGAATAGTGAAACGAACTGTTATTACTACACCGTATCTACAGTTGTAAGTGCGGTAGTTCAGGGTCATCGCAGCCTGAACTTTGGACTTTCTGACCTGTAATCCAGCAAACAAGCCACGCCTGGCCACCAGCAAAAGTCTTGACTTGGGTGAAGGAACTATTTCTCTAGTATTACTGGACTTGGCTATGTCGGAACAACATTTTGCGACATATTCAAACTAAGACCTATTGTAGCACGTAATGCAGACAAGGTCAAAATGAAATTGGCAGAAAATGTAACTAAAGCACAAACTATATCTCTTATATTTACACCGGACATCCGCATGTCAATGTATTCCAAACTATATCTCTTATATTTACACCGGACATCCACATGTCAATGTATTCCAAACTATATCTCTTATATTTATACCGGACATCCACATGTCAATGTATTCCAAACTATATCTCTTATATTTACACCGGACATCTACATGTCAATGTATTCCAAACTATATCTCTTATATTTACACCGGACATCCACATGTCAATGTATTCCAAACTATATCTCTTATATTTACACCGGACATCCACATGTCAATGTATTCCAAACTATATCTCTTATATTTACACCGGACATCCACATGTCAATGTATTCCAAACTATATCTCTTATATTTACACCGGACATCCACATGTCAATGTATTCCAAACTATATATCTTATATTTACCCCGGACATCCGCATGTATTCCACATGTAAATGTTACATTAAGCTAGATTCTTGCCAATTGAGATTATTAGTCCCATCAATAGACGCATGTGTACCTGCAATATCTTTAATTTGCCCTCTCCCCTCTCCCGGTGGTTTTGTTACCCGTGGTGGACAGAACACATAAAGCCCATTGTGCACCTTTGCGCTTAACAACTACAATTCTATAAAGTAAAGGTCACTGCTCTCTGGTTCATGTATTTGAGCGTTATACAAATGTGCAATTTAATCAAAGTAAGCTTAAAATTAGAACTCGGGCAAAACTGACTGCCAAAGATACTTTTTTTTTGCGAATTTGGTTTTTTCAGGGATAACTATTTGGTATTTTTATAAAATTGCTATAAAAACCACTTCAGCATTAATAATTACTAGCTGTGCTAACATAATTTATTGAAATTGTTCCAGAATATTTTTAAATATGTATTTGATTATTATTGATTTCTTGAAAAGCTATCATCATGTGGTGTCGGTCATGATTTAGTGCCTAGCATGACAGAACTGTTAATCCAAGAATTCATGGCTCGTGACTCGTAGTAGTTGGAGCCGCTGTTATCAGACAGGGTAGCCTACGAGTTGGCGGTGAGTGTTATGGACTAACTACCTTTCCTCTAGTCTTTGAGTTCAAAATTAGGAACTGTTTTGCGAAGACAGCCCTTGTATACCTTTGCGCGAAACATAGGCATAAATCCGCAATCTATATAAAATTGCTTTAGCATAACTCTCTCTATGTGAGAAACATATTTATGGTTGTAAACAATGAGTTCTTTGCCAACGGTTAAAATCGATAAATGGTTTGTTTTGATGTCATTTTAAACGTGGATGTATTAACGTAAAAAGAAACTTAACAGGTTGAAGTACTATGATAAAATATAAGATTTTATCAACCCATGGGTCTTTAAGCTCTTGAAAGAGCTGGAAAGCTCGTGGTTTAATAAAAATACTATATTTTAAAGTGATACTTCAGTCTATAACTTCTTTTTCCTCTTACGAAAAATATTTGGATCATAACATCAGATTTTTTCTTTGAGAGAGTTTTTAACATTATCACTTAGATATTCTTATAGCATTTTAAACACTACTAAAGTTTAACTGCACTTTTTTTTTTCGTTATGCTCTAGCAACATAACGTGCATGTATGTATGTATATAATACATACATGCGTACGTATTATGGTTGTAACTGAGGTAACAATCTCTGTTGTATATAATATTAATAACAGATGACGGGAGACCTCTTTTGCATTATAATGTGTGTGTGTGTGTTTGTGAAGACGTTATACTTAGCGTCAAAGCAATACTTTACTTTTATTTTAAAGACCATTCAAATGAATAATGTAGTTCTACGAATCATGTATAAAATACACAATACTGCATATATAGACTTCTTGTTATTCCAAGGCAGTTACAAGATGTACAACGTTGCATATACGGGTGCATTGTTCTTCTATGGCAGGTACAATGTTGTACATACTGATGTCTTGTTTTTTTATGGTAGGTACAATATACTCAATGTTGCATATACAAACTTCTGTGTTTTTGTATGTAACGTTTCGGGATAATGCTAAAACCCAATAAAAGAACGATGATATCTTGTTGAAATTAATTATATGTTACTTCCAAGTGGCAAACATATGTTGCCCGTGACATTAACCAACTAATTTATTTATTGAAATTTTAAGATGTCTATAAAAATTATGTAGATGCTTCTTTATAAGTCTATTTTCCCTACCTAAAATCTTCACTCACTAAAATTCTCATGATATTAGACTAATACATAATCATGAAAACTTGATTAAAAACAATGTTTGTCTTTATTAACCTCAAACGTTTGTCATAGAACACGTATAAGAAAATTTCAAATTGTCATGTCATGAACATGGAAGAGATGTGATGTCTTTCAATCACTGGACATATTATGAACAGTAGTTCGTTGAGAATGTGTTTTTGTAAATATATACGAATGGGAATTACCAAAACATTACATAAAATATATACTCCATAATTGAAAGGAAAGCTGTAAACTCAGACTTATTAAAATATAATTACGATTTTTATATAGTTGAGAATAAAAGAAACAGTTTCCAGAAGTCACATTCCAAGGACTGTTACATTAAAACTAATACAAAGTTTTATTGTGTTTCCAGTTAAAACCTCTAGAAACGTATCTTATAGAGTACGCTGTGTTTAAAGTTTTATCGATCACTCTGGTATTTTGAAAGTTTTAATTAATGTTGTTCCTAGTCGACTTCTAAATAATTCATATTTACGTTGTTTGACTAAATTAGGAGAAAAAGTTGGGTGTTATATATCAGATTAACTATTAAATATCTAATATTAATGAAGGGATTACGCTGTTTGTTTACAGTTTTGCAGCTTTCTGAGAACCTGGTTAAAAACACTTCCTGAGCAGCTGGGAGTTCGAATTCTAACAGAAGAACCTTGTTTCATTTCAACTCTAAACAAGTCTTGTGGTTTTAGATATAAGATCGTATAGGTTTGCGTATAAATAGAAAATTTCAAGCGGAGTTGACAATATACTGTAATAAGAAATATACCTTGGGGGAGGATAAAAATCGTTGATGACGTCAGAGAACAAATTCCTCCCACATCATGGGATTTGTTAGTTCTAGGAAACTGATAGGCACAAAATTATTTTGACCGTGTGTTTTTCCATCTGTCAAGCAAATACTTAATGGCGTGTGATTAAGTTATGCATTTTTTCCTTAATATAATTGAAACAGATTAGGAAAAAAAATTAGGATATTATCAATAAAACTGACAAATAAAATGTTTTTCTTGTCTTTATAATTGTGCGTAATCTACGGTAAGAAAAACGAAATACAACAGTGAAGACCATAAAAGACCTACTAACAATAATACTTACGAGATTATTGCCTGTTACTTGTAGAGTTAATCTCGACAACTGTAGATCACAACAACTATATTGTGACTGCCGTGAACCGACAAAACACAGTGTTCAGCCAAGTGTATTTGTTTCTCCTGCTCGTTTCAAGCGTCCGTTTTGCTGTCTTCTTGTTCGCGCGTTCTTGCGTAACGCCCTCTAGCGAGGAAACGTATAGCCGACGATCAATTTAACAGGACGGCAATTTCAAAAGAGTTATACTGTTTGGAACTAACAGAAGCAACAATTTTTTATTTAAACAGATACAGATTCCATAATTTATGCACTAGAGTTTGATCGTAGCTTAAGTTTATTAGAAAGTGGTAGCTGTGATTGACAGTGACTTTCAATATAAGGAAGCATTCTTTTATTTCTCACAGTCTTAAGTCTTTTATCTAAAAATCTGTAAGTCGTCATCCTTTTCTCTCTATTTTAGGTTTTAATGGCTGCAATGGAGCATGAATTTATAAGGATGATTACTTAATTTAATTTGTATTCAATTCACAATATCTATGTAATAAATATTTTTGTGGCTCAAGTGGAGAGAGGCGAAGTTGTCGTATAGTGTGTTTTTTTTATCTCTACGTCATTCTGCAGATCATTTTAGCCACATATTTGTCTTATTTATTTTTCCTCTGTCCTTATGGCGAATTGGAGGTATGAGGACAAGATAAGTAGTTAGGCTGCAAAAAATGGAGGTACTGAAACAGAGCTACTTCAACAAGGTTACAATCAAGAAAAAGATACCTTGAAGAAAAGTGCCCTATGTAGATTCACGAGGACTACTGGTCCCTGAAATAAAAAAAAAGAAGAGGAGGCAATAGCTATGTGAAAGATTAAAGCTAAGTAATCAGATCGCTTTGAAATCCTCCAACGTGTGTGAAAATTTGCATTCAAGCTCTGAAAACTTCAGTTTGTGTAACACGTGTTTCCTTTATGTGTTGTTTACAAAATGTTAAAATTCCCTAAGTGTTACGTTTTCAATACAATCAATCTCGCCATGTGGAGAAACACGTGCTATTTAAGACCGTAACTTTGCAAGTTTTAACAATAAAGGTTCAACTCCAAACACGAAAAAAGAAAATACTACATTCTTAAACATCTTAAACTTTCCATATAAAATGTATATGTTATATAGCATAAAATATAGACAGGACGTCTAGACAGTTAATTTTAAGATGTTTCATTATTATGGACAATAAGATTATGTCTTTTGTTATTTCTATTGACAAAACAAAACAAAATACAGAGATTGCACCTTGACTTCACACTTGAATTTTTCTTAAATTTATCATCTAAGGAAAGAAATACAGAGATGAAAAGATTATGAATAAGTAAAAATATTTATTTGAATTTACCCAAAGTAAATTTTATATTGAACATTCACTATGACGTACCTAAAACTTCTGAAACTTTTGCTCTGCAGTGTTAGAATAAAGATTTCAGATACTAAATCATACATTAGGGATTACCTTCTTTCTCTGTACTTATTCCAATTTATTAGATACAAATAGTAACTATATAAAATTCTGAAAGTAGTCGTGTTGTGTTTATTGCCTTAGTAGCAGCGGTAACTATAGAAATAGTTCAGAATAATTACGTTTCCACTCAATAAAATGGGGTAAAAAACATACGTTTGACTAAAATTAATCTAATAAAAACTCCTATAACAATGCACTCACAATAATTACTCCAAGCGTTGTACTGAATTTCAAAGTTTTATTAAAAACAATACCATCGTCAATGCTCATATTATATTTTTTTATTGGGATTAACTTTTAGACAAAACAATGTCTGGGGCATAGACAGACGTCTAACTACGTACCTTCAGATTTATAGACTAAGTTATTGTAGCTCTAAAAGGAAATTCAATCACCAGGACAAAGACTTTTTTTGACAGCAAAATTTATGAGTTCGTTTATGGTTGCAATATCCTGTTGAGGAGGTGTTTCAACCAAAGTGTACCCCTGAACTTCAGGTTGTGCGGAAGATTGTTAGATATGTTACATTATTCAAATAGAAGTACAAACTCAATAAAGACACTTGACTAAGGTTATTCGCTATTCACAAAAACAAAACTACGCTTATGAAGCTCCATGTTATTTAGGTAAAAAAACAACAAAAAACATTGGTTGCATAAGATGTGGAGAACTGTTATGATGTATTGTTAAAATAGAAAAGTTTTAGTTTACTGAATACATTAAGTACTCGACTAGAAAATTACAATTATATTCTAGCAGACAAAAATTATCATATTTCTTCTTATACGGTAAGCTGATTTTGCAGAGGTAAAGGCTGAAACAAGAAAAACTAACCATAATTGTAGCAATTGATTGTACTATTGGGAATAAAGAGATATATGATAATTTGCATAATATATTAAATTTTATCTTTGTTTTTTTTCCAAAGTTTAGTTACTGTTTAAACGATTATTCGGTTACAAAACTGAACTTTAACCACAAGAGAATTAAGTACCTTTGCTTGTCAGGATATTGGAATTTCAACTTTGTACTTAAATAACAAGTCATATTTTAAATAAAATGAAATATGGTTGCTTATTCTTGTCTCAATACACTTGAAACAATAATTGGCTCTAAACAGTACTTGTTTTTTATTAAACTTTGGTAACATCAATGATTAGATGTATGTGTTCAAATTCTTGTAGAATTTAGTTTGCAAACAAAAGAATACGAATACATAAAATATCCATGTATTAGTTTATTTACATATATATCTATATCTATATTTAGAATTAATTTTGTCCCGGTATAGAAACATAAGTAGTTTTCTCATCTATCATGCACGCAATGGAACATAATATCTGAAGCGAATTTAGAATTTATAGTTAACATCTTGCAATAAAGGCCTTACACATGTTTTTCTGTATTTGTATGCTCATCAGTTGTAACTAAAGCAGAGTGTGTGGATTTCGTGCCTCTTTCTCCCTGCTTAACCCGTTCAATAAAGCATCTACGTCGAAGCCTTATCAGAGAACCGATGAAAAAGTAAGACTGAGATCAGACATCTGGTATGATCAGGAATAGAATAAAAGCACTTTTTTTGCGTGTTATTAAATAAACCGTCGTTTCTAATTCAAGAAAATGGGCTTAATCTTTATTTTCCAAAATTATGATAAACAACTTGTACGTGCTGTCACTAAGTTACCATGTTTTGTAATAAGTTTCGTTTAAGATTAAGAAAAGACATGTTTTTTTTTTCTTCAACATACTATAAAAGTATTGTGATTTATATCATATCAAGTTACATATATCTATAACTTATAAATTTAATATACATACTTTGCATTGAATGATTTTGTTTTTGAATTTCGCGCAAAGCTACACGAGGGCTATCTGCACTAG